AGACGTAGAACGTTTATCATTTCAAGTTCACTGATCGCCTCCGAATGTGTTTTTGGTGCGTGGGAGGAATATTGATAAATCTTTGAACTGTGGACAGATTAAAAAGAAAACCATCAAAGAAAGGAAAGTTCAGTCTTGAAAGAAAATGCCAAACTAATAGTCCGAGTTCAGAACAGGACATTAAATTTGGAACATCTTTTAAGAAATAAGTAAAGGAAACATTTCGCGGGGCCAAGTCTGGATCAATGAGTGGAAGCTTATTTTTCTGCGTGTTTGTCTGTCTCGTTTGCTGTTGTCTCGTGGGCGTATTTTGATCTAAACGTCTGCTGGCAATGATATATTAATTTGTTTATTTATTAATTTGTTTATTCGTCAGTTTGGTGACAAATAAATGCTCTTCTAGCAGTCTCTCTCTCTTGCACGGGCACCTCTATTTCTTTCTCTGTGCCACAAACTCGATTTCTTTCTTTTTCTCTCCATCTCCCTCCTCCTCTCTCCCCCTCTCTCTTTCACTCCCTCTATTACTCCACTGTGTCTCTCTAACCGTTGCTCTATTCTCTCTCTCTCTCTCTCTCTCTCTCTCTCTCTCTCTCTCTCTCTCTCTCCCTCCTCCTCTCTCCCCCTCTCTCTTTCACTCCCTCTATTACTCCACTGTATCTCTCTAGCCGTGTTTCTATTCTCTCCCTAATTAAAACATTTCAGCCGTTTCCAGAGAACATAATCTCATCAGGTTTAGAAAACCTTCAGCTCTGTTAAGAGAACAATAAAAACATATACAAAATAAATTACACTTTTATTTGTCTCATCGTATCTTTGTAGCGTTTATTTTCTGTCCGCCGAAAGAGCGTTTGCCTAGGGTCAGCTCGCTGTAGAGTAACCTCTTTGGGAGGCAAGAGTTGTCCATGCGGTGAACGAGGCCGGCGCACCAGTACTGAGAGCCCAGTAGGATGGTGTGGGTGCTCTCTATCTGGTCCCGCTGGAGCACCTCAGTGTCTGGGGCTCTGTCTCGCCACTTCATACGGATAAGGGCAAGTGAGCCAACACTTTGAACACTCACACAAACCTGCACTGAAACATGTACACGAATATTCTTTTTTGCTTTTTTGTAAGTGTTATACAGCGCTTGCAACTGCATAAAGTCATATGAGCGCGCGGGAAACATTAAACTTTTTCAGTAGGTAGGAAATTTTGAATTTTACCCGGGTGGCGGCCGAAGCCTACTCTTATCGATTTTAGACCGCCAAGGAAACTTTAAAGTGCGAAACTTGCACACAGGACCTCCGAGATTTTTTGCCATTTCCCGAGAAGGCTAGGTGCAAATCTTTCCTACCAGAAGATCAGGGGTGTGGCTGAAAGACAGCAGTAAGGAGGAGCCAAGGAGTAGCAGTAGAAATAGTCAGGAGCCCGGAGGAGGTCCAAAGGAGGTGAGGGGGTGGGGGCAGAAAGACGAGACGAAAGCAGACGACAGAACATTGCTAGAGAGCAGGAAAGAAGATAGAATGGAGACAATTTTACAGAAGAAAATTTTTCCGTCGCTATTCGGATTCGAACTGGGGACCTTTGAGTTAGAGGTGAACACCTTAACCTCTAGGCCATGAGACCCCCTGGATAAGGGCACGTGAGCCAACACTTTGAACACTCACACAGACGTGCACAGATACGTGTACCGGTACACAAATATTCTTCAACTTTCCGTAACAAAAATCTGTGTTCGATACCTTTTGAAGTGAGCTTCAAAGAAAATCACACCGCGTTGAGATCGATACTCAGGTGTGGACGCGAGGAAATCAGGTAAAAACTACATATGAGATCGAGCGTGGTGTGTCGTAAACTTTCATCCCATTGTCGGGGCTTGCAGAGCATGAGCCCTCTCTACTACACTATTAGCGAGTTTTAAAAAAATCGTTTTCCTTTTTTTCATTAAAAGTTTCATAAAGAAATCACCTTTAGAAAGGGCTTATCCTTTGCTGACCCCTAAGACATTAGATTGGCTGTTAGGTTACGGTAGTTGTAAGCAGGGACAGCGGTTCCTTGTTGGAGAAACGAGCAAGTGTGTGTGTTCACATTGTGCACTAGAGGCAGTATATTCTATCTGAAGCAATCACAACAGTTTCCACTCTTTCCCCTATCCGTACGTCGTGTTTTACTATAGTATCCATATGACGTGGAGAACTCTGAGCCACCACTTTCCAAAGAGGAAATTTACTCGTTAATCCGATCTGTACGCTTTGCATAGCAGTCTGTCAAAATGATGTTTCGAGAAATACTGAAAGTTTCAAAGAGATCTTCGTACTAGAAGAATTCTAAAATGTGACGAATACAACCCCGGGGGTACAAAATGACCCCATGGCGTACGGATAGGGTTAATTAACAAACATTCATGTACGTTGGGAAAGAGTCTGAATGGGGGATTGGGTGGGTGGGGAGGGAGGCGGACTCAATTCCTTTAACCCTTCACTTCCCCCCTCTACTGTATCTGAATCCTGATTTTTCTTTCTTAGATTGACCTCGCCAGTGGTTTTAGAACCAAAGAAAACCCCCCCCCAACAAAAACAACCCTGTTAAGCGTTTCTTCCAATTGCAAGGCTGGAGCTAACGCCATCGCTGTCGTCCCCTTTTCTAACACGTCGATCGCGACATCACGTTCTGAGCTTAGAACTGTAGGATCCAATGTTCATTATAAAACTTACAGGTAATCTAAAATCTCGCTGCTGTCTGACTGTGATGTATGTGGCCGCTTTGACAATAGCTCTGTCGCTCCCTGATCACTGTGATGAGTGGCTGGAAATTGCCTCTTGCCACTGGTCGATGTGTCTAATCTTGGTGGCTTACTCATTACACAAAGGTGCTTGTCAAGCTTTTTATAGCCGGAGTCCACTTTTGTTCCCTTTAAGAGACGAAAGTTTCAACACACGGCCCACCTACGTATTGTATTTCCAGGCGAGCATTTATAAAACCAGTCAGTACCCGGGTGAACATCCAGGTCGGCTGGAACATATAATTATTATTCCAGAGTACGTGAGCGGCCATCACAAATGTATCATGGCACGGTGGAATCAGGCGCTCATCAATTTTTGCGCATGTAAAGTTATGGTATCATCTTAAAGCTTCTCCATTTATTTGTTTAAAAAATACTCCTCTATCTTGAGTAGAAGTCGAAATATTCCAATAGAAGGATGCGGGGG